TGCATTCTGTTCATGGCTGTCAAGGTGACTGCACATGGACCAGGCTTAGTTTATTGCGTGGAATCTGCACTGCAGCCATGCTTTTGAAGGAGCAGAGGGCATGCGTTAGGGGACGGGAGTAGGGGTATTGTCCAGATCCGTACCCTCTGCTAGCATGAGGATCTCATTTGACAGCTTCAAGGTGGAATGTAGTGAGACCAAAACAAGGGCTGTAGCCCTCACTTCCTCAACCCCTCCCTTCTTCTAGGGGAACAGAAAACCAATCAGATTCATCACACTCTGGTGGCTGAGTTTGGGTTGGGGGGTGGCTGCATGCAGGCAGAGGGAACGCATATCATGACCACAATAGAGCAAAGAAGCTCAGTTCAGCCATGAAAGCCCAGCGGGAGAGACTGAGAATTCCCGGGCTGACGTTGGAGTGAGTATTTTCCTTTGTTATCCTGCTGGGCGAGGGTGCAGCAGCTCATGTGCAGCTTCATCTGTCGCTGTCTATTTGTTGCTGTCTTTTTGCTCTGAGCTGTGTTAGCATTAGCAGCAGCGTCTGCAGCAGGAAGTCTGACGTCAAATTCTCCACACCTTGACAACAGCATCATGCGTGTGTCTGAGCTGTGTGTTTACATGCGTGTGTTTGTGCTGGATACAGAGCACAAAGGACTTGCTGAATTTAAATGTGTAAGTGACACATGTAGGTATAATGGTGATGAATAAGACGAGAGACGGTGAATCTCTGCGCTTACTGTGCCACTTTCAGACCCGATGCGTTCCTTCATACATGTTATTTAGGTCAACAAGGCATTTGTTCTGGTCACCTGTGTCTGACGATTTATATTTGACTACTGAGCCAACAGGATCAACCAATGACGTTATTTCTATGCAGATTTGGGACAAACTATAAAAACCTCATTTTTTGAACAGTTTTATAAATTACACTTCAAATTACCTACCCCTGAGTAAAGTATGCATTGATTAGTGTTTTAAAGCAGTGATTTAGTGAGCGTATACCACTCAGCTCTGTGCCTTTAAATTTACAGAAAGAATCACATGAAAAGAACATTATGTTGCAACTACAGGATAGTTACAGCATTATATGAACATAATTATTCAGTAAAATAAAGTAGAAATGTATTACTACTACACAGTATATTTAAATGTTTTAAAAAATGTAAAAAATATTTTAAAACATTTTATTATTCTATTATTAAGCATGTCTAAAACATCAATTAATCACAGTTCAAACACTAATGCAGGGTCTGTTTGGCCAAATAAAGTTGTATTCACTTGGGTAAATGTAACCGTTTTTAGTTGTTCAGCTTTTAACTAAGGCAAATTGTTTAATAAATAAAATATGTGTTCACTGCAGTAAATAAAATGTTTCATCGTGTTTAATGTTAAAGGACAGCAAAGTAAGTCACGATTAGTGTTTTCATGCAACAGCGGGTCATGTTGTTCTTAAAACAATTTATAGTAGTTCACCTTTTATTTTTCCTCCAGACTGATGTCTTGATCGTTCATAGTTTTTATCATTTCATTAATTAATTCTTCTTTAAGGTAGTGTTTTAACAATAATAATAATAACATAATAATAATTTATTCAATTTGTACTGCACTTTACATTTTATAATCTCAAAGTGCTACAATATAAAACTTGTAGAGAGAGTAAATCATGGATTAAAAAAAAAAGAAAGAAAACTTAGTTGCAGGTATTTATTGGAAAATGTCATTCATTAGGGAGTCTCCAAAATGTCTCAAAACATTTTCAGGACTCCTCAGTTTTGCTGTGTGACCAAGTCATTTACAACCTTTGTCTGTCTCTCCTTCCTGTCCTCTCAAACCAGCCGGTCAAAGCAGATGGCCTCTTGTCCTGAGACTGGTTCTTCTGGAGGGTTCTTCCTGTTAAAAGGGAGTTTTTTCTTTCCACTGTTGCCACTGTGCTTGCTCAGCATGGGAGACTGTGAGGAAGTGAAGATTCAATGAGTCAGCTGCTTCCTTAGATAGAGAACTTTACTAATTGGCTTTTCTATGTAAGTGAATGTTCCTGTTCAGTGTCCTGAGATGACGTCTGTTGTGACTTGGTGCTGTGTAAATAAACTGAATTGAACTGAACCTTGTCGCTTGAAATTTAAACATTTTCAGAAAATGCATGCAGCAAATTTTGTTAGAAATGTGGCTACCAGAAAAAGGACAAAAAGGAGCGATGTTGATAGAGAGATAGTTGCAGTGAGGACAGAGGATGACTCGCTGTGGTGACACTCGAAAAAAGGTTAGTAAGCTCAATCATCCAGGTACATAACAACGAAAAAGGTTAAATCATGTCATCTGGACCAGTTTCTTTAAGGTAAAAGCTGAAAGAAAAAGACTACACTGTTTCCCGAGGTTGAATTTCTACATTTTCAGAAAATTTATGCAACAGATTTTTGACCAAGAGTGTTTCAAAGTTGTTGCTGGTGTTTAAAACCTTTCTCATTTCAGTTTTGTAACTCTTGTGCAATGAACCTGTATTTTGACTATTGCATGGAGCACAGACAGAGAGGGCTGCGGTAGCTTAACGGTCAGTACAGTGGTCTTGTAATCCTGAGGATGAGAGTTCGAGCCCAGGTTGTGTCAGGAAGAGCATCCAGCTTAAAACAAATTGCCAAGTCTTTCATGCACTTGCTCACTGTGGTGACCCCTGAAGAAGGAAGCAGCTGAAAGAAACTTGCCTACATGGAGCACAGACAGACAGGAAATGTCTAATGCGTCAGAGACTGGCTAAGAAATAACATGCATGGCCTAGAATACAGTTCTAAAAGACATGCATGTACAAATAGGTTCAAATATTGTCCACTCCAAGAACTTGGCTACACAGTTCACTGCCACAGACGCTCAGTTTGGTGAGACTGCAACAGAAATATCACATTTTCTCACAAATTTGAGTCTTCAGTTAAATTATTATCCTTGGTTCCTACTTGAACGTAGCCATAATCTTATCTAAACAAGGACTTTAAAGTGTAGGGAATTGTAATTGCCCCATACTGTATATAGATGTGAATGCACCTTCTTCTCCTGCTGTAATAAAACTGTGTTCATATTGCTAAAGTATAGCATGCAGTGCTGAAGCTAAACTGTCTGCATGGTAGAACTAAATGTCCGGATAGCTCCTTGGGAAAGCTCTGAAACATTTTCAATTTATTTTTAGATTTAGCCATATACCAATATAACATTACAGCCAACATATAAAAATCCCTAAAATGTTTCTTGAGGGGTTTAATGATTATAATATTTCATTCTGACTCTATTATTTGGATTTATTTAGCTGGACAAGAATATTTACCCAGATGAATACATTTTTAAGTAAAAATGAGCTGTGAATGTTGAACAGTAAATGACTTTGCTGAAATTTGTTGAATGTACTTTTGCCTAAAATGATCAATTTTAAATAACAGCTAAAATCAGAAAACCTAACTAACAGCTAATATTAGCAAAACTGTTGCTAAAAGCTAAAAGTAACAAAACTTCAGCTTATTGCGTCCAAACAGTAGGTGTAAGCTTATTTTTTCTTAAATTCTATTCAGTTTATTTACATGGCATGAATTTGCAACAAAAGTCATCTTGGCACGTTAAAAAGATATAAAACTAATCTTTCAAAGAAAGCAGCAGATTTAGTTGACTTCACTCTTCCCAATCTTCCATTCTGAGCAACACATTGGAAACAGTGGAAAGGAGAACATCCCTTTAAACAAGAACCTGCAGTAGAACTGGGCTCAGGATGGGCAGGCATCTGCCTCAACCCACTGTGGTTAGAGAGGACAAGAAAGAAGCAAAAACAGAATGACTGTTCTGGGTGTAGTTTCTATGGCACATAAAACAAAGAAAAAGATGTTAACAGAAAAACATACAAATGCAAACACAACAAAACAATAACCAAATGCCAAAATAAATAAAACCATAGCATGAAGCTGAAATGAGCTAAATAATGTTAGACAGAAAGCAATGGCCGGAGGCACTACAGTACAGTAGTGCTTTATGGGAAATGAAGTCCTGTTGAGTGGTGATTACATTGGGATTATTGAAAGAAAATTACAAAATGTCAGTGCCTATCCAAATTTATTTATTTATTTTTATTTTTTTCTAACCACGTGAGTACATTAATATTACAGTAAAGTTAACAATTGTGTGTCATGTACTGTATACTGCACTGTACAATTATTTATTTTTATAAATTTTTTGACAAACCACGATGGAGCGAGTTGGCGAAAGTCAAACCGCGAAGTAGCGAGGGACTACTTCATAAGAAAACCAAACTAGAGTGCACATGTTGAAAGTAGATTCCAGAGAATGTTTTTGATAGAATTGAAAAGATAAAAAATTTCAGGGGTGAGGTTTTGTAAAAACACTTAGTTAATCAAAAAATATAAAAATACAAATATCTTAGTCAAAGCACTCTGTTCTTTATTGAGTTAATTGTTTTCAATCAAGCAATGGTTAAAGTACCACAAAGTTTGTGGAAATAGATTAATTTAGAAAAAGTGTATGGAAGAACCAAAAGGAAAACCGTGTAGAAGCTGAGTCGGTGTGTGAGCATTCACACAAATGGTTCTGTTCGGTGCTGCAGTAAATGTTAGTCACCTTTGACCTGTTGCTCTGCAGAGCTACCTACAGCTGTCTGTGCGGCTGAGAACATGACGTCACACAGTAAATTAATACTCTGTGTACATGAAAACATGCTGCTTCCAACCTGTAGCCTTTAGTCAGTCTGCTACTATTTTAATGATCTTCAACCAGATTAAATACAGAGGATCCTCTGTATTTAATCTGGTTCTGTGCACAAGCTCGGTGTCAAATAAACACTGCAGAACCGGACAAATGCCTCAACAACCTGCTCTGTAAACAGTGACATTCATCTGACGGGGAATATTTAGCTGCTGTGTTCGTCAGGGCACGACTCAGAGCTGTGATGGGATAGTGTCTGTCCTGTGTGTGATTCTAAAACACCTTTTCACTTCGCTCCATTTAACTTGCAGCCTCACTCCTCGAAGCTTGAGCCCCACTCCAACTAGTCCTTGCAGCCCGTGCAGCCCACTGCACGCATTTCATTTCTGGAGGTAAGCAAGTGTTTTTCAGCCATCAGTGATTAAAAATAATAATAATAAGAATTGTCAGAGTATGTTTGAGCCAATCTTTTGTTCAAAGAGCCTTGTGCAAAAATCTCAGGGGGTTGGTGGGGGGGGGGGGGGGGGTCATCACCTCCAGTAGATCATTTGAGGAAACTAAACTTTTTAACACTATAATGAAAACAATGCATTTCTTCCATTTGTAAAATGATGCATTTATGCCTCTCAGTTTATGCCTTATACCTGGGATGCAGGGGATTTAATCCCTACGCCCAAACCTCATTTTTTATTATAATTCTAATCAAACCAGATTATTTTCGCTTTTTGCATACAAAAGTCATATTTCTATAATGTTTAAAGGGATCTCTGGTAGGAACAATGGACTGTTGTTGATCATTTCAGAAACTCATAACTTATATTGAATGACCATGAAAAATCCACGTGTCAGGAATATTTTTATTTGATTTTGTTGAATTATTTATTGGACGTAGGTCTGCTGCTTAACATGGTGCATTTATTTGGAGCTTTAAGTTATTGCAAAGCTGCTTTAGATCATTGACGGTTATTCAGTGATCACTAAAAAGTATTAATCCAATCCAAAATAAATCTATCTTAAATATGGTTAAAAAAATCTGTAGACTAAGGAAAATACTCATATCAAGGTTCAAGGTTCTTTATTGTATTTCACGTTACACAGAACAAAACTATGTACACAGGGTCCTAGTTACACCCAACAATAGCAAAAATATAAAGTATAGAAAGTAACATTATACACAGATCTAATATACACTAAACAATAATAATGTAATATAATACAATGTATTAAACAGCAGCCTGAACTAGGGATGCACCGATTTATTGGCCCCAATTTCCTTAATTTTGGGTGATCGGAAATCAGCCAATACTTAATGAGAAACTGATTTTACCAATTTTTTTTTATTTTTAACAACAATTGTCTGAACTTAATTTATATTTCAGAGCACTACCTCATAGCCAGTTAAAACAAGTTTGGATTGTTTCTAGGATATTGTTCAAGAGTATGTTTTTCAATAAAATAAGATTGGAAACTTGAAGGTCATTGTGACCTTATAACACCCGACAGTGTCGCTTATTAAACAATATCAGTATCGGCCAAAATCAGAATCGGCAGGTCAGGCTTTTTAGAAATCGCTGATCGGTCAGAGAACTGCAATCGGTGCACCCCTAATCTGAACACGAGTCTGCTGTGAGCAGATGGGTATGAATACAGCAGCTTAAAGGCAAAACATCAGCAGCATGGATCAGCAGCAGCACAGATAAAGCCACATATCACCAATTAAAGTGGCATTACAGTGATTTTTCTGGTTTGGGATTCATGAGTCTGTCATAGCTTCAGGGAAGAAGCTGTTCCTCAGTCTAGTGGTTCTACACTTAATGCTCCTCAACCTCATGCCTGAGGGGAGCGGGGCAAAAAGTGTGTGTGCTGGGTGAGTGGGGTCCTTCATGATGCAGGTGGCCCTCTTCCTGCATCTGGAGGTGTAGATGTCTGTGATGGTGGGGAGCCTGACTCCAGCAGACTTCTGTGCAGCCTTCACCACTCTCTGCAAAGCTTTTCTTTCTGCAGCTGTGCAGCCTCCATGCACCACGTTGATGCTGGAGCACATGATGCTCTACAATAGTAAAATACCTCAATTTTATGTATGTTGTGAATTTCTCACCATAATCTGCCCTGCAAACTGAAAACATTATTTATAAACAATATTTAAATGAACTGCATCAGTTTTTTTTTTACATATTTCCATGGCAACACTGGAACCCGGCAACCCTGCATCCCGCTCTCACGGTGTACCTAATTGATTTTTCAGTTTATACTTTATTATTGATGAATGTCAGATGTTTAGTGATGTGTTCCTACAGTTTAAATGGTTTTATACTCTTGTAAAAACAAGAAGAAACTTACGTTGAAAGTCACATGACCACGTACCCTAGAAGCACATCCAGCATGTGAGGGTTTTCTCCAGGTACTCCGGTTTCCTCCCACAGATCAAAAACATGCATGTTAGGCTGATTGGTAACTCTAAATTGTCTCTAGGTGTGAGTGAAAGAGTGAATGGTTGTTTGTCTCGTTTGTTTCTACGTGTCCCTGTGATGGACTGGAGACCTGTCCAGGTGTCCCCTGCCTCTCACACAGTGACTACTGGATGTGGACACCAGTGATCCCCCATTGCCTGAAAAGGAAGAAGAGGGTAAAAGATAATGGATGGATGGACATTTGAAGAAATTTGGTTTCACTTAGTCATTGAAGCGTCCCCCCCCCCCCCCCACCACCACACACACTTTTTTTATTCAAAGAACGGTTTGACTGTGATTAATGTATAAAAGCAATAAATGGGCAAAATATCCAGTTGGGTAAACACTTTTTATAGGCACTGTGTAAACATTGTGCTTTGTGTTAAATGTTGTCATTTCTGTACACATGTAGTTTAATGACAGTGTTGTTAATCAGTTTCATAACATTCTGTGTTTTGCTGTAATTTCCACTTTGAATGTTCAATTTCCTTAGTTTGCATTTTTACACAAATACTGAAACCACAGAAGTCAATGGGCCCTTGTAGAAACCTATTGCCTCAATGTCCAGTGTGCGTTCAATGATTGCTTTGCACAAGGTGGCAGAGAAAACCTAATTCATAATTGTCAAACTACACTCGTGAGGAAGAAAATACTTTTGTCAAACCTCAACAGATTTTCAGACTGTAAATATAAACGGTTTTTGTTTTGCATGATTTTTACACTCCACTAATGTCATGCTTCATTTGAGTTTGACCTTGAGTTGTCATTTCTTATGTGGAGCACAGATACAGGACAGAGCCATAATTAGAGTGAAGGCTGTCACAGCAGCCTGCAGAGAGATGAGCAGAGCTTTTCTGAGAAGAATGCACACACAAACTCAGGCTTTCTGCTGTCACCTCTGATGACACTATTACAGAGAAGGCTGTGTGAGAGTAACCTGTGCTTATGGGCTGTTATGTTGGGGCCTTCCTTTGTCACTTTTCCTTTAAAACTGCACGTACCTGAATAAGGAAAAAGCTTAAACTTAATGATCTTTTACCTGCACCCAACTGTGCACTGTTTTACTTAGTTGTTTCCATTCCTGCTTTATTGCATTCATGCTCTGGGGAGGACTGGATTAATATAAAGTTTATCACTAGTCTAGATGTGCTTTGAGCTGGTGTTCATACATTAATTTTAACCATAGCCAGAAATGGTTTTGTTTTTATTCATTTGTTCATTCATTCACTCGTTCATTCAGATGAAATTATATTTTAATGAGCGATTCCAAAACTGGCAGAACACTAAATTCATGCTACAGTGGCAAACGTGATTTGAAGATTAGCAACTTTATATTTAAAATTTTGATTACCAGTATTTTTCCCATTCATTCAACCTTTATTTATACAGCTTAATCCCATTGAGCCTCGGGGACTCATTTACAAGAGAGACCTGATTATTATAACAGAGTAATGACAACAGTGGATAATGACAACAACAATAGACAATCATAAAAGAGGCATACAATTTTATTATCATTATTTTTTTTACAAGTTAAAATAAAATGGAAACAAAATGGACAGTCAAAAGGAAAAAGTAGCAACAAAAACAGCTAGGTTTTAAGGCGGTATAGAAAACTAAAAACAGGAACATGTCTGCATTGGTTTTTGTCATGAACTTATCAGATGTTTGAAGCCACTTGGAGAGGTCAAGGTCAAGAGCTTCAGATGTTTTTGTAAGATATTCCAGGAAACAGGAGCAGAGTAGGAGAAGGCCCTTTTGCCTAGTTTAGTCCTCACTGAGGGGACACTGCAGGTAATAATGTCCTGAGAGCGCACGCTGTAGCTGCACTCACGCAGAGACATGTAGGAGGAGATGTATGAAGGCAGCAGACCAAGAAGTGATTTAAAGATGAAAATGTACAAACCGGATTCCAAAAAGGTTGGGACACTAAACAAATTGTGAATAAAAACTGAATGCAATGATGTGGAGGTGCCAACATCTAATATTTGTTCAGAATAGAACACAAATCACAGATCAAAAGTTTAAACTGAGAGAATTTATCATTTTGAGGGAAAAATCTGTTGTTTCCAAATTTCATGGCATCAACAAATCCCAAAAAAGTTGGGACAAGTCCATTTTTACCACTGTGTGGCATCCCCCCTTCTTCTTACAACACTCAACAGAAGTCTGGGGACAGAGGAGACCAGTTTCTCAAGTTTAGAAATAGGAATGCTCTCCCATTCATGTCTAATACAAGCCTCTAACTGTTCAATCGTCTTGGACCTTCTTTGATGCACCTTCCTCTTCATGATGTGCCAAATGTTCTCTATAGGTGAAAGATCTGGACTGCAGGCTGGCATTTCAGTACCCGGATCCTTCTCCTACGTAGCCATGATGTTGTGATTGCTGCAGAATGTGGTCTGGCATTATCGTGTTGAAAAATGCAGGGTCTTCCCTGAAAGAGATGACGTCTAGATGGGAGCATATGTTGTTCTAGAACCTGAACATGGTTCTCTGCATTAATGGTGCCTTTCCAGACATGCAAGCTGCCCATGCCACAAGCACTCATGCAACCCCATGCCATCAGTGATGCAGGCTTCTGAACGGAGTGTTGATAACAACTTGGGCTATCCTTGTCCTCTTTGATCCGGATGACATGGCGTCCCAGTGTTCCATAAAGAACTTCAAATCGTGACTCATCTGACCACAGATCAGACTTCCATTTTGCCACACTCCATTTTAAATGACCCCTGGCCCAGTGCAAACGTCTGAGCTTGTGGAGCTTGCTTAGAAACTGCTTCCTCTTTGCTCTGTAGAGTTTCAGCTGGCAACGGCAGATGGCACGGTGGATTGTGTTCACTGACAATGCTTTCTGGAAGTATTCCTGAGCCCATTCTGTTATTTCCTTGACAGTGGCATTTCTGTTTGAGGTGCAGTGACGTTTAAGGGCCCGGAGATCA